GCCACTGGGGATCAGGCCTTCAACCCACGCAAGCGCCCTGATGGGGTATCTCCTGGATCATAGACTGATGCTCAACCGCTGAGCCATGCTGGCTGGGCTCAAGTTGCTTTTAAAAGAATCAATGTTGCTGGCCAGCGTGGCTCAGCTGTTGAGCTTCGACCTATGAACCCAGAGATCAAGGTTCCATTCCTGGTGAGGGCACATGCCCAGGTTGTGGGCCTGATCCCCAGTGGGGGGGGCGGGGAGTGCAGGAGGCAGCTGATTAGTGACTCTCATCATTGATGTTTCTCTCTCCCTCTCCCTGAAATCAATAAAGTAAAACAATCAATGTCATAATTTATATGGCATCTTATTTGGAATTCAGAACATCCCAACATAGGCTAGAGTGTCCTGATTCTCTTAACTTCAGTCTCAACAAAAATAGGTATAAAATGAGGAAAGACAGATTTGAGGTGTCTTGTTTAATAATCACTATAGGGGACTTCCCCAAAACCACGATTTTGTTTGGCAAGCAGTGGAATTTTACTGCTGGATAATAGATCATAGTAAGGTTTTGTTTGGGTGAAAGGTAAGCCTTTCTTTTGAAAAGGGGACTGTTCTCAGGCAGATCAATTTTGGGAAGGGTACCCATGGAAGTTGAGCTGGAAATTGATTTCCTTAAATATATTTCTGCAAGGCAAAACAAACCTTTACTGTCAGAAGCCAGAACAGTCACCCTTTTGTGTGTGTGTGGTGGTGCTGGTGGGGGGTGTGGGAGGCAGGGATTGGTTATTACCAAAGTCCTATTGCTTTTATTCCCCAATCATTTTTTTAAAAATATATTTTTATTGCTTTCAGAGAGAGGAAAGGAGAAGGAGAGAGAGAGATAGAAACATCAATGATGAGAGAGAGTCATTGATCAGCTGCAGCCCGCAACCCGGGCATGTGCCCTGACCGGGAATTGAACCCCGATCTCCTGGATCCTAGGTTGATGCTCAACTGCTGAGCCACGCCTGGCCGGGCTCCCCAATCATATTTTGAATCTGTTCATTTCTCTGCATTTACATGGCTACTACCTTAGACATACTACTTCTAATTATTGATAACTGTAATTACCTCTGAATTGCTCTCCC